GCATCCTGAGCATGAAAAAAACATGAAAAAAACATGAAAATGTTGGCAAATCATCAGGAAATGGTTGGCTAATGTTGGCTAAATCAAACGACCCGAAAGAAAAATGAAAAACGCCCGAAATCCATAAAAAAACGTCACATAATGTCACAAATATACACAAATCGACTCATCTCAATCTCATCCCATTGATACGAAATATCGCCCAATCAAAAGTTTGGTTTAGTGTTGTACTTATTTTTGAATTGAGGGCCCTATTTGGGGAATCCCAGTTGCAACTGGGCTAATCCTACATACCCCACGTGCAACCCGAGACTATAAACCACTTAGTAACTGCGGGTGAGCCACCAAGTAATGTTGAAATATCCCATGAAAAATCGCCATGAAATCCCAAAAGTTGATGTGTTGTTTCCATAAAAATCATTAAAAATCAAGAAATATTGTTGGTTACATATGTATAATATATATATATCATTATCAATAGTGTTAGTATATTGTTATATATTGTTAATTATTACTATGATATAGACTCATCAATCCCATCCAAATTCCAGAAAATTCTTGAAATCTCCGTTCCGTCAAAGCCATGAATCCAAGCCCATCCAGTACCCGGCGTCCCACCAGAGCATGGCCACGCCCGGCGTCACGGCGTCCATGATTCGGATCCAGCCCTGGGCGGTTTGGTCAGGGGGCACCCTGATGGAGCAGCTGACCATTCCTGGCTTTAAATGTCAAGTGCAACGATCATTAAATAAAGCCATTGTTTCTGCTATCTATTCCATTTTATTCCTATTGACTTATCAATTATCAGGATGATATTTATTTATTGCTTTTCATCTGACCATTGGTCGGCTAGCAGCTGTCAATTTCCACCATTCCAACTAGCAGCTGACAATTAAAAAATCGATCATCCTCTAATTGGTGGTTGAGCCCTACCCCCCTGAAAAATGATGGAGTTCGTCAGATTGGATCATCATCCCAACGATATAAGGGGAAACTAAAATTCATGTTCCAAACCACCAACCAGAACTTAATATGGTATTTCATAGATATTTAATAGACATGTCCATAGGTTTTCCCATAGTTTTCCCATAGATGTTCCAAACCACCAACCAGTAACCAGATGATAAATAAATATGACAAACCACTGGATTCCTAGACTTAAAGACGGCCAAACTGGGTTTTAAATTATAAACCACTCGTCGAATGGGCATCCAAGCACTTGGAAGTCAAGTTCAACAGTTCCTGGAGGTTCCTAAGTCATGGAGGTACCCCAACTCATCCAAAATGACATATATATATATATATATAAGTATATTATAGGTATATAATGATATAATATGATATATATATATATATAAGACCCCCAGCCTTTGCTACTCAACGAATTAAAACAACTGAAGCACGACATCAGTGATTTCCTGGGGGGCTCAAACGAAACTAAGAAACTGGTTCCTATGGTTTGAACATCGCACAAAAACAAAATGTGGTAAAGATCTATAAAGACTGAAGAAATATTGGGATCTTGACTGGCATCTCAGAGTCTCAGAGTGTTTGATGTTGACCCACTTCTCAATTTCATCCATAGGTATCTATAATCATACGTATCCTTGTTCTAACCCCGGTTTCTCACAGCTACCATCTGGTTATTTAACATAGCCATAGAAAATCACCATTTTTCATAGGTAAACCATATGTAAATGGGCCATCTATACCATGGCTATGTTAAATAACCAAAGGGTAATTTACGGTAAATGATGATAGATCGCCAGGACACACTCATGCCGTAGGCACCAGCAAATCCACAACACGCTCCTAACCTTGGTGTAGCTCTCTTCATGGCTGGACATTTCTTGGGATAACCAGTCTAGCCATGTATACCAGTAGCTTATTAAAACACCGTTTTAAGCGATAGCTAGTTCGATGTTGAATGGAACATATGGATATGTCCATAAATTGGGGTCAACGGATGGTTTATAACAAAAATCCTATTCAAATGGATGATTTAGGGGTACCCCCATTGTAGGAACCCCCCCTATGAAATTCTGTAAACGGGTGATGTTCCATTGCCAGGGGAAATTCCTGAAGGGTAGCCGCTAAAATGTGGCTCTTATGGCAATTTACAGTAGAATTTAACGAGATATCAATGGACCATGGTGGACTTACCAAGCATCTAAAAGCTGGTTTAGTAGAAGTTTCTGCTTTGGAGAACTGGCAATACATGGCAATACTATCAGTTTATGCTTCGTTGAGGCGTTGAGCTTCCAAAGTTCCTCAAAAGTTCTGCCATCATTGGGACATCTGGAAGATCTGAGAATCCTCATGATGGCCCCTTGGCGACGAAAGTCGGGGAGACTTCAAAGGGGTGTTTCCCATTTGAGGTCTAACGTTCACTCGGAATTGAGGCCACAGTAAAGCGACAGTTTGCCTAGGGGATGAAAAATGATGAGTTTCCTGTCAAGTTCCTCCTAAAATCAATTCGTTCTTCGGCTGTAGAACCACTCTGCTGCACATTTCACCCACCTGGCAGGATCTAAAATACCAAACCATCGCCACATACTAACCATGTTGATGGTATGCAATCTCAAGAATCTAGTTGTAGACGTCTTCATGAACTGCTATGGCACTACAGTCATTACAGTTATTTACACTTCAAACAACATATATGATTTTACATATTTTACTACCGTTAGTGCACAAAAAAAACATGAGTGTAGCAACACTGATGGGTTTCAGTAACAGTCATCGGTCGCATCACATGTCGTCGCCAGACCGCGCTTTCCTCCCCCGAGTTCCCCCTGCAGCACTTGGCTACCTTCGAAGCCCCAATACACGGCCAGGCCAACCGTCACAGCTGCCTGGGATCGACAGCAACTTCAACCAGGACCTGTGGTTTTACAACCCAAGAGGAAGAGAACTGGTTTGATAACAGATGCAATGCGCTCAACGTGGATCTGACTAGCTCATCAAGGAACAGCTACTACATGGGATGTAGCAAGAGGTTCGCAAATGTGTTGAGACATTGCAGAGACAAAACACTGTTCACTGCCAGGAGTGGTACCCATGACGGATCCTAACGGTGCTGGTTTTTCTATGCTAACATGACTGGGGTATATTGATGGGATCCATGGCACACCATATATAGCAGCACTGTTAGGATCCGTCATGGGGTATAACGGTATAACTTAAGCCATGGTAACTTGGGGATCTCCCATTTATTAAGAAACCCCAACAACGATGGAGTTTCTGCCTGCATGTGAACTACCCAAGCGATCGGATTTGAATCGGAAGTATTCCGTATTCCCCATGTCGACTTCTCAGATTTTCCCCAGATTTTCCCAGCCATGGGCCATGGATGCAGTGAAAGCGTATGGAAGATGGAACAAACAGAAAAAGTCGGGTCAAGCACAGGGTTTAAAAGGTCATTCCTGGTCAGCCAGTGATGATTTGGACCTTGAGACGAAAGCAGAACTGGTTATGTTGGTGGATCTGTGATTTAGACCTATCCCTTCGACATCGGCAAGACATCAGGACGAATTTCTCCGGTAAATCAACCAGTCTTATTGGAGTCTTGGTTAAAAATCATCTTTTTTGGTACCTGCTGCACCTCATAGAGAGGAATTCCTTTCCAAGATCTTAATGGTAATCTTTTAGCATGATGTACAGCAATTGTTGTCCGGGACGTGATTTCCCGTAAACCCAATATTTGGCATTATTAGCTCATATACATATATATTTATATATATATACATATATATACATATATATATATACATACATATTTATATATATATACATATGTATGTATATATATATATACATATATATATATACATATATGTATAGATGTATATATGTATATATATGTGTATATATATATAAAGACATGTATAAATATATATATATATAATGTATATATACACGTAGATATATGTGCATGGATATATATATATACATATATATATATGTTTCCTTCTTTCTATCTATCTTTCTATATCTATATTCATATATGCATAATTACATGTATATACGTTTGTATGGGCATATAAACATATGATATCTGAAAGGAATATACATATACCCATTATACACACTACTGTACCACTTATAATCATGGATTCTTCACTATATGAAAACTTCAGTGTATATATATATATATCATTAAAACATCATCTAATAGATACACAAATCATGAACACCTTATCCTGAACCCAATAAATTGTGCTCATACACCAAATAATTCAGGTCGAAAGGGGGTTCATATACCCAATACCCAAACTCAAAATCCCACCACAAAAATCCCACCAGGTCAGCGGCCAATCATCCGTGGTTTTGCACGCATGGCTCAGCCATCAAGGGGTGCAACGTTTCCAGGATCCAAAAGAGATATAGTCGCTGGATGGATTTTCTCCAAATTTATTTGCATATATGATGGTATTTAATATAGTAGCTCAAAAATATAATTCTTGGGGTATATAATATATATAAATATACACATCTATATATAGGTTCTCAAAACCAAACTGCCAACATTGAGATTAATGGGATATACTTGGCATTGATGGGAACGGTGCCCAAAAGAAAAAGCAAAAACAACATGCACGCAGTTGGCTTTCATCCCCTTTGTAAATTCACTTGGGGTCCCTTGCTGTGTGCAATGGTGAGTGGAAATGCACGGAGATATGCCGCAGCAATCCCGGCTTGTTTGCAGCTCCCAGGTTTGGATCTTGGAACACTTTCAAGCTGCAAACCAGCTGTCATCTATGAAATTGATTCCGTAGACATTTGCAGCTTAATCATTTTCTGTGACCCCAGGAAATTATCTAAGATATGATCCCAATCCAGTTGAGTGAGTGGATGCATGCAAACAATGATTGAACAGTGATTGAACAAATGAAACTTTAGTCATGAAATCATATCAGTTTTCATGCCGGACTCATGGGTCAACATACCCAGCACTGACAAGTGCATGATCAAGCTGCATTCACATGGCCCAACTCACATCATTCGTTTGCACGTCCTGCGCAGATCATTTGGGCTCTGGTGTTTCGACGCGGAAACTTGATGGGGGAAGAAACATCTAGAAGGGGTAGCTCTTCAAACCGGGGGAGCTCCCCTGCCTCGTCATCACCCAAAAATGTGGTGGGCAGCTTCGATATGGGATCAACCCCTGAACAATGGGACAATGCCATCAAGATCAGGGATCGAATCCGTTGCAACCAGAACCTTTTGATGAGGTGTAACCATGAAACTGGTGAAGAAGAAATGGGGTATGTGGAGGCAACAACTGACAATTGCCGGCTCAACGATGCAGTCCTGCTACCGGTGTTGCAATTGATGTCAGAAAATGGTCTTCAGCTACCCCCAATTCAGGGTCTCATAGCCGGAATTGAGACCTTTTACCAGTTGTCGAAAGTGGTGAGGTCCCCTGACCAAGTCTACCAGGAAGCATGGGCAATCAGAAGGCTGATTGGTAAGACCAAAAAGTTCACCTACAGAAGCTTTGCCCCTCAGGACCATATAGTTCAACTTCCATGCAAAAATACTGGGGACTTAATGATGTAATATATATATATATATATGTATATCCATATCCATATATCTATAACTATAAAATCTATCATATCTATATCTATATCTATATCTGTATGTATGCATGCATGTATGTATATAATAATACATATATATTTACTCAAACACACCCAGCTAGCTCCGGGGTGGTCCTTCTCGCTGCAGCAACGATGCAGGATTCCATTCTCCGAAGCCTCGTCGAAGCGATGGGATTCAACTGTGAGGTGTCCATGTGATGTGGGTCTGGGATAATTTTCTGGGTTATGTTCATATATATATATGCACTGACAACAAAAGGCCAATGTTTCACAGGGCCAATGGGCATGGTCCAATCACTATGTATCAAATATAAGGTTGAATTTGATTTGGACCCGTGATTGCATACCCCCGTTGACTTAGGTCCATGTTTGAGTTTCATCAGATTGGATTTTAGGTTGGGTGCCTAATCATATATAGTTAGCCCCTGTGAGACCAATGAGATAAAGCTTTTTATGCAACCACAAAGCTCCAACTCATAAATCTTATTCTGAAATTTCATGTTCCCCTTAGATGCAACTCCGCATTCATTGGGTGACTATTGATGACTTGCGTTTGGCCATGGAAACTACTTGTATACAGCCAAGAGGCATCAACAGATGTAGTTTTTTCACCCTTAATATATATATATGTATATGTATATATATATAGTTGACAAAAACATTATACCACATTGATATATATATATATATATAGAAAGAGAGATACATATACATATATGTATATATGTATATATATATATTATATAAATCCAAAGTATAATCTGTATATACTGTATCTGCAACACTTAAGCCAACCAATTGGCTGCAGGATTGGAGACCCCGTGCTGCAGATTCCGACAGCCCAGATGGATCTACTGCAGGGCATCCGTTGGAGAATGGTGATGGTGCATCCCAAGGTCATGCAGAAATTCATGATGGTCAACCTATGTTCCCTGACAATTCATTGGATGAGTTGATGAAAGATCTTGAATCTCAACTTCCTGAAGTCCCACTATGTGGCCCTGACAAGCCGCAGATCCCAAGCCCTTTGGGGGACCGGTCTCGAGTTGGAGTTCAGCCACCACAGCCTGTGGCAGGATCAGCTGGGAAAGATGCAGCAGGTGGAAAGGCCGTGGTTCCAACACCATGCCGGGCGAACAAATCTTCGCGCAGTGTGGCCCCAAATGGTGTTCCAAACTCATTGGGTGGATTGAAGGACTGAGGTTTGTGTAATATATGTGTGTAAAAAGATTTTACAACAGGTTTCAACATGAAATAAATTCAATTTCAGGCAAATTGATGTTTTCTGACCCAGCGAGTGTTTAAACTTTTTTGGGTATAAGAGAACCCATGCACTGACTAAGTTATTCAACATTCATGCTTTTAAAAAATATATATATATATTATTTACCCCTGAAGGAGACCTCGGACACGGTATTGGACATTTCATCTGATGAGGAAAATGTTTCATCGGAATCAACTATCCATCGTGCCAACAGTCTTCCAGCTGATCTCAATGCGATCATTCAGGCTGTGATCCAGGAATACCAATCGAAGATGACTCAGGGAAAGAGTTTGGGCTTCAGAGGAATCCCTTGTTTTGGACATCCCTAAAATGGATATAGCGGTAAATAATGATTCCCATGTATTCTTTATATATCTATTTCCTGTATTCCCCTTGGCTAAGGAAAGTGGAGACCTCTGATGACACCGGCAACCCGGAAGAGATACCAGAGAGCAACCGCAGTGTGGTGCCCGCCACGGGAACGGACGGAAGTTCCTCACTTGGATTTATATTATATATCTTAAATATGGATAATCTTCAATGTGGTTTTCCTTCTATAGCCGTTTCCATTTTTGTGGGGTAAATATTGCACATATATATATAGCCATATATCATCACCCAAGAAAGAATGCAGTAGATGTATTTAGTTTGCACTTAATTGCTTTAAAATGTTATGCCAAATCAGGTTCAGCTGCAGTGGGTCCACCCGAACTGGTTTTGTCGGATTCCTTGCTTCCACCAGTTTTTGCTGGTTCTCAAGATGACACATTGTTGCCATGCTCCCCATCACAGCTACTTCACACAAATGTAGCTCAAGAGACTTTGCGAAGTGTTGACAACCATGACTCTATTGTGCAGAAGGAGGCAGGGAAAAGTTACACCCTTGAAATGATATATAAATGTAAAGCATATATATAAAATCATTGGTTCGTTTAATATCATGATGTTTCAAAATACCATGATTTCAATTATATATATATATGTTTGATATATACATATATCATATATCCATTCCTGATTTTTTCTCCCCCAGGTGGCGAACAGTGGACTTGATGCAGCTTCGATCCCAGACCACGAGATCATCACAAGGAGAAAACAATTCAGAATGAAGAAAGATCTAGCTGATGTGAAAAAAAAGAAAAAGGAGCAGAAGATGATCGAGAAGATTGAAAAACAAAAAGCAAAAGAAGAAAAAAAACTTGCAAGGGAAGCAAAGAAAAAGCAGAAGAACAATGAAAAGGCAAACAAAGGGCACAGAAAGTCCAAGAAGAAAGACAAGCCAGAGGGGGGGAACCCGCCCCAAAAGAAAGGCTGAAAGGCAGCTGAGAAAGCAAAGGCATGGCAGAAAAATGGCAAAGATGGTGAGGCTTCGTCTTCTGTGCCTCATCCGGTCAGGAGCCGCAAGATGAGAAGACTCAAGAAGATGTCGTCCCCAAAGAAGTCAGATGAGACAGCATCTCCACTTGAAACAAAGGGTTCCAAAAAGAGCAGTTACAAGACCGAAAAGAAGACAGAACACAAGGCAGAAGAGACTTTGGCAATGGAGCATGCTACAACTCAGGATGCTGCTATGGGGAATGTGGCAGAGCAGGCAATGCCTGGTCAGGAGGAGGATCTAGGAGAGAAACGCTGTGACCAGAAGCAGAGAAAAGTAAGACAGACAGCAGTGAAGAGCAAGGCGAAGGCCAAGGCCACATCCAAGGCAGCAGCCAAGTCCAAGACATGCAAGAAAGACATGAACACAACCAAGACAAAGAGCAAGGGAAAGAAGGAAGCCAAGGATACGAAAGAAAAGAAGAGTCGAAAGCGACCTGCCTCAGGAGACAAGAAGCCAACGCAGTCCCGGTTGAGAATCCCGGCAAGGTTTAAAGACCTGCCTGTGGATTCTGAGGTGAAAGAGAAAGTGGAGAATACACTTGCACAGTGTAAGGAGACACACTGCACCCACCCAGAATACAAACATGAAAAAAACACAATGATCGAATATGACTATTACTGGGATCGCAAGGCATGTGGGATCAAGGCAGATCGCCGCTTCTTCACCAACAAGAAAGCCAAGGGGAAGGGGAAAGCTCATGTGGCCTACTTTTCTGGCACTACATCTTGCCCCTACAGCAATGTCACTCTTGCCGATCTTTGGGTTTCTTGATAGCAAACATTCTCGAGGGTTTCAATGCATGAAAAAAAAAAATACATTTCCCCACATGTAGTTTGAAAGATGGGCCCTTACATATATATATATATATTATGCATGAAAGCTTCACACAAGCATCGCTGCACTCCACATGGACTTGACAAACTCAAATTATATATAAGAGACCACATTAGACCCCATACTATATATATATAATCTGTGTAATCGTTAATCCAAAAAAAACTGTGTACTCTGTCGCACCCTGGCCGCAAGCCAAGGTGAAAAAGTGGGAGGAGGACGGCCGGCCTGATCCATGCGGTGAAGACATGCTTCGCTACACCGCTATCCTGAAGATGTCGCATGATGCTGCTGTGAAGGGCGTGTCACCAGCCGAGGGTGGAACCGTTGACTAGCCAAGCCTTTTTATATCCACTCATGACATGATGGGCGATCAAATCAAATCATATAGATAGCATCTATCATCATCTATTTAAAAACACCCATTATGACCTTCGTGTACATATTTGTGTAAATGGAATGGTGTTTCGCGAGATCAAACCTCAATGGACCAGGGGCCAGAGGTTGCAATAGGTTGCAATGAGTGGTTTCTTGGGGCTGTGTGCCCATATGTTGACGGCGCTGGTACCCATAGACCCTCAAGCACATCCAAATTAGCCGTTTTTTTTGAACATAATTTGATCAACAAGCTCGATCAAGAAATATCTATATATCTATATATCCTATAGGTCAATCATCAAAAAACAAAGATGCTTGAAAGTGCTTTGGGTCAGGGAACCAAATCGTTGTGCGCATATGAACTCAAATTCTGGGTCAGTCTTGCACATTACATTGTGCACTTTCGTTCGATGCCAATTGGAACTTAGCATTTGGCTACGTACACCAATCCTCATGGCCATTTGTTCATCATTCTCTGCATGGATGGGGTGAAGCAGAATGAAAACAGGCGTTTGTGTTTTTGGAGTTTGGTGGTACCATCCCTGCTTACACATATACATATATATATATTTATTTAATATTATATTCGAAAAATCACAGCCACCAGGTGTCCCACAAAGAGGTGCATTGTCAATTCATGAGAATTATATATATATTACACAGAAAATCTATGCCCCAAATGTCCTGTTTCACCCTGGAATGTCGTCCTCGTGCCAGGTGCATTCACGATGCCTCGGCGGAAGGTACGGAAGATTGCCAAGGGAAGTGGCAATGCGGTGAAACATGGAGCACATGCCAGATTTTTCAAAGGTCCCAGTGGCTCGCTTACCTGGATATAATAACATGGGATTCATGCATAGGATCTGGAACACATGCCAAACATTGGTCAAATCTTCGATCTGGATTCATGGGATCTTGTGCTGTCATGTTGTGCATGCATATATGCCACTGTATGATCCTTAAAAAAAATCCAGCATGAGTGAGCACGCACCATGGCAACATTGAAAGAATCAAGTCGAACTTTTCAAACATCTTTCACAATTACCAGCCATGCCAAACACAATCATATATACTTCCCTACATGCAATTACATCTTGGTTTTGCAAAATTGTTTTCACTTTTTCTGGCCCCGATAGCCCGATCCTGAATTGCAATGGTGACTGGGCGGGAGCAAATTGGGCTGGTAGTGAAGCGGCTTGCAAAGATGCAGTTTCCCAAAGCTACTTGGCCTATATAATAATGCTGGTTCCTGTATATACTCAATCCTTTGGGTTGTGCAAAAAAAATGCACCAGCTGAGATCTTTATATATATGGTGGTATTGATCGCCTTTTCGGAGAACATGGCGGCCTTCTCTGAGGACTTTTCTGATGCAACCAACAGTTTCCAATTCATCCCCAGAATACAATGGAGTTCAATTTCAAACTTATATATGTTATATATATATGTTATATATACATATGTTATATATATATGTTATATATATAAGTTTTAGAGAGAGAACTTCCCATGACTTTTAGCCAACGCTATGGCCAGGGTCCCCTACTCATCCAGCCACCGCTGCATGCAGGAGTTGACCTTTGTGGAGTTTTTCGCTGGACGTGGTCGAGTTTGGAAGGGACTACGTATAGACCATGTCAACTCCCTGGGGGTTGATATATCCTACTTGGAGCACGGAGCTGACGTCCAAAATCCTTTTGATATACTTTCATGTGCCGGAATGGGGTTTTACCCTCAGTTGGAGGTGTGTATTTGCTATAGCCGTTTTCCAAAAATCAAGAGCCCAGCCTTCAACAAGTTATGATAGATTATTTTATATAAGAACTTAATTTTACACCCCTGAAAGCGAATGAGGCTCTACATACACCTCATCCTATCTTGCAAAATGGATGCCTTTGCAACTCTTTGGGCCACTGTATGTTCCAGCTGGGTGCGCATCAACTCCTACACCAGTTGCCGAAGTAGACTGTTGCCAGAGGGTGATGACAGCAAAGAATACATCAGGCTAGCCAATATGATGATGAGTCGGTTACTGGACCAATTTCCAAATTTTTGTTTTGGTTTATAACTTATATATTTCTGATATAGATGTTCATATGTTGGGGTCATACCCATTGAATATATAACCAAGGTGTGTGCTTTTGATGGGCCTCACCATAGCTTGTGGTGGAAGCTCTTGTTGGAGCAGCCGGGATCGTCTGTGATGGCGGAGTACTTTAGATTTCAATGGTTTTGCCGCCAAGTCCGGGTGGCCTGACTGATATATGCCATCATTGCCAACACGATCTATATAGAACAAATTGAACCTGGATGTATATAATGATTTTGATATTTCATGGTTATATATATATATACCTTTATAGAGCTCCCCATGAGATTGGTTATCCCATGCCCATTTCTCAATTGATGAGTATCTCATCCAAGCACCCATCCGATTCCCTGTGCCCATGGACTCCGATCAGGTCTACACATTCACATGGAAGATGGGAGCTTTTGAAGGAGCTACCTCGGAGAAACCAGAGCGGGGGTGGACCAACAACAGACAGTTCGCAAGAATTGCCCTGCCTTACAAACGTGACCCTTCAAAGAAGAGTGGGAAGCCAACGGTGATCAAGACCATCTCCAAGTCTGGAAAACCATCATACTCTGGAACAAAGGAGCTGAAAAACACACAGTACAGGCCTTATATTTTTCATTGTTGGAATTTGTGATGTCATTTAAGATCATCCAATAACAAGTGTAACATATAGATTCCAGATTTTATTTCATCTGAAATCAGTTGCATGGGTCCTGGGTCCATTGCTTCGACTAATCCCCTTTTGGCCGCCAAGGATTTATCCACAGGGATTTGCAGACCATATCCGATCCTTGTATCCAGACCTGATTACTGGTGGAGAGGGAGTTCCAGAGGTTGATGAATCCCTTTCGGGACATTCCGTGTTCTATGGACTTCCTTGCAGTACTTGGGAAGAGGCCAACCTACTACCCTCCTTGAAATACATTCGAGGAAACAAGCACCTTTCAATTCCGAAGGAATGGCTTGAGTCCTTCCCGGAACCGCTTGAAATTTTACATAGGGTAGAGCAGCGTCTGCTGCGGGAGCAGTCTGGGAGCTCCAGTGGCTGAGGGTCCTTGTGCCTTTGCAGGTACAATTAGCTGTGTCAACACCCCAAGCATTCAATTGTCGTCCAAATTCTCCCAATCAATAACCAAGGACTACCATGGTTTCCAATAATACGTTCATATGTGTCAATTTTATATATATTGCCCATCCAAAACTGCAGGAAATCATTAAAGACCCTTCAAATCCCATCAAATTCCAACCAGTGCCAAAAAATCACAAAAAATTGAGTTCCGTAAATGGACGTGAAACACCGTTCTGGGGACATGAATTCACGTAAAGCGTTCGAATTACGTTCGAATTACGTTCGAATTACGTTCGAATTACGTTCAATTGCGTTCGACTTGTGCAAATATTACGCAAATATTGCGTTCAAAAATCAAAAAATTAAAGGTCGTTTTTGGAGCCATTTGGAAATCATCAAAAAATATATGCCTGAATCAATTTTTGAAAGAAATTGTTTGAAAATTCAACAGATTGGGGTGTTTAGCTGAAGACCTGCTTCGTTCCAGCATGGAATCCCGTGGCCTGACCCATGACCGCTACAGGATGCGTGTGGTTTTTGCAAAAATGACAGGTTACAGCTTAGAAACCTGCTGGCATGACTTGTAGGGTTGGTGGCCGTGACAAGCAGGTGTCAATTTCTTGGCAAAACATTGGATGGTTGTGCAACAACTTATATATTGCATGATGATCTGATCGATTTTATGTCTTAGCCATTTGGGAAACACTCATAGCTGACCAGGACTAGCTAGGATGTCTAGGGACTCGATGGTGTCCTCCCTTCCTTCAAATGGATGGTCCTGCCAGACCTTAGAGGAAGGTTTGGCCCTGGCTGCTGAAAAAGCTGGCCTTTCCATGCAGACCAGAGACTATTTGCAGGCCGGGTCTATATATTCCATTTGCCCGATGACTTGAACTCAGGGTATCCACAACTTGATCCCTATATATACATATATATATATATGTCGAAAGACTTACAATATATATATATATACGGATCCACTTGCACCCAAATCAATTGCATGCCCATGCCCCATGGACTGGGGCCAGGTAACCAAAATGGTAATGGACGCCATGGAGAAACGCAATGTTTCTTGGCCTTTCCAGATTGTCCCCCATAAGGTGAAATTATATATATATAATATAAAATATAATATATAATATATATATATAATTATTTATTATAATATTACATTATATTATATATTATATCTTATATCTTATTATATACTTAATTATTTGTTTAAATATATTATGTGCATGAATATATATATAGCAATCAATACTATCGGCCAATGGATTATATATACCATGTTTATATGTGCGATTATGTGAAGTATTTTTCTGATTCCATGTATAGTCATGTTTCAACATCATCGGCTTGGCCCTGCCAATCTGAGGCTTCTGGCAGCCCGAAGACCATCGTGAAGCAGGAGCCGCCTGCATCGCCGAAGAGAATGGAGCCGGAGAAGGTATCTTGGAAATTTAGTTTTGGACATAGGGGATCCTTATAAGATATATACACATGTATACACAACTTTGTTGTTTTCAGGTGGATGGGCCAAAATACAAAGAACCTGCCGGTGGCTGTGGGGCCTTGCCTGATGCAGACACTATTCCAGCAGATTCCCGGCTATATTTCTTTAAGTCATGCATGCAAGGGATATATATACACCATGGCGTGTTCAATGCTGTTGGAATATCAGGATTTGGGCTCCCCTCGAGTTACTTCACCTGGTGCGACTTCTCCAACACCGCCTGGTTCTTTCGCACTGGTTTCCAGAGAGGCATGCTCTTTCTGGGCTATCTTCCATGCCCATATATATATATATATGTATATTATATATATATGTATATTATATATATATATGCACAACTTTACACACACACATATATATATATATACACATTGAGGACAATCAGCCATGCATGAATGCATCCCCGTCAACATCCCTCAACGTAATTTGCAAACACCCTTCCGGATCCCTTAACAGGTTGAGCTAGAGAAAATGGTGGACCAGAAGGAGAAGACAGTCCAGGACCTTCTGTCGAAGATCACAATGCTTGAGCTTGCATACAACAAACGGGAGGGTGAAATTGCGGACAAGCAACGTGAGATGGAAGCAAGGGAGAAGGAAAAGGAAAAGGAGAAGGAAGAACACACCTCAAAGTTGGAAAACCTGCTTGAAAAAACCTTGAACCGTGTGTCTGACTTGGAAACCACCATGAAGCAAACACAAACGGTGGGAACCAAACCTGTGGATAAGAAACCGTCAGCACCCACAGCCACAGCTGCTTCTCATGTGAGTGAGCCTGGTGAAGATGAGACTGATGATGATGAAGATGAAGAAAGCCCATCTTTGACTACTCCTGGTGGAGACACCGTTACTTGTTTGTTTGAATTTATCGTAATTGCCAAACATGTGAAACAAATCAGATCGGATTGATGAATGTAGTCATGGAAAAAAACATATATCACATGTTGTTTTTGGTTTACATCAATGGGTCTTGCTCCATGAATCGATGGTTCATCTTGAAATCTAAGGTTCCTATCTCGGCAGATGCACTTCGGATGAGGTGCAGGCGCCTTTGCCAGAAGACGGCGACGGGCAAGCTGGCCGTCCCTGAGGGCATAGCGGCTGAGTGGCGTGCGGGGGGAGAGCAACGTGAGGCTCTCGAAATGGCTTTATTGGAGAGCCTGGGTCGATATGGGCTGGATCGTTCCAACTACAAGAAAGTCAAGGCTATGGGGTGGTGTTTATATTATATATAAAAAAACAAGTGTTCGCTATATATGATGGATTTATACCACCAAAAAAATGGCCTGATGATGTCATTCCCCAATACCCTCTTTACCCAGCCAACTCGATCCGATCCACTGCAGACTGACTTTGTCACCAAATGCCGTCTCATTAAAGAACGGCTTGAGTCTCGTGAGATGGAGACGATGGGAAAGTGGATGACACTTGAAGCTATGCAAAAGTCTGGAAGATATTCAACTCGAAGCATCAAAGCCATTACGTCATACTGCAAGAAGTTCCCAGAAGCTTTGTGCAGGCTGGTTTATGAACATTAACCAATCATATATGTCAATGATGTTGTTCAGACCCAACTCCAAAAACAATCAGTCCACATATATATACATATATAGTGCCCTCTCCTACTTGGGAGGTCGTGGGTTTACGACAGCAATGTGACGGAGTTTTATGTCATCGACGAAGACAAATGCAGTCACAAGCGTGCTGACCTGACGAAACAAACTGAAGAGACGGACATGGGTGAATCTTGCATGATATAAATTCCTGTATGCAAGGTCCAAACAAATCTTGCAGCGCATCTTAGTGCGTAAACGATATATGGTTGTTTTAAGCCATCGTAAAATTTCTCATACATGCACTTTGATTGGCATGGTTATCACTGTTTAAATATACCCAACTATCATGTCAACTCATATCAATGACAAACATGTGTATATATATATATATATTTATGAATTGCTTTGTCGAATCAACCTCCGTATATCCAATTCCTGCCCAAGCTGCCTCATCCAAGGACAAAGCTGCAAAGAAAGCTCCTGAGGGATTGCCCGCCAAGATGACTGCGATCCCAAACCCACAGCCAGCTCCGGAGGTGGTGGGTTCCAAGGACGGGGACTTTGATCATATAGCCGAAAAAATATATATGTCGTAATCGTATATCATATATGCAACCACAAGTGATTCTTGGGAATCTATTCATTTATCATTTGCTTTGCTGATTTTATGATCTATTTACTGGCCCTGACCAGCCCGTGGCGGATCTTGAAGCGTATATGGTCAGCCTCGAAAAGAAGCAACAAACCATGCAGAAGATGATGGGAGTCTTGCAATCATCATCGGATGGTATGGCAACGAAGTTCTTTGATCAAACAGTGAACACATCCAAAAGCAAAACAAACACAGATCTTTTTGTCATGATAAGGGGTATATGACGGTAATCCCCTCATATCCCACTCTAAGGTTGTCTAGCAATCTTGAGCCGTTGGCCGACCGCATGGAGAAGAGCTACGGAGTCTTTGCTACCTATCTCACAGAGCTCAAGATGGATCACAACAATGGTGAGAAGAAGGGTGACCGATTGGATGTGTTGCTTGTATTTTAAAGTTGTATAGGTTAAACTCTCAAGTTCACGCATGTTTTTTCCTCTGGTTCAGTGAGCCAGCTTTCAAATGTTCCAAGTTTTTCAAGCTACAGGGTTTGGCCTTTGGGTGTTGGGTTTCCAGCGCCCTGTTTGTCTTTGCATGGCTGGCGCCAACGATGGTTCTGATGATGCCGAAGCGTGGCTACATGAACTTCTCAGATACAACCGGGAGGCCATTCCCTCACCATTTCCAAACTTACAATTTTACATCATGACAGTCAGGGAGGAATTGTTTAAATACGTGTGATCAAAAAAACATCAAAACATACTCTTTGCCTTTTACCTCATGAAGAAAGAGGTGGATACATCTTTGCTATATATATAAAAATTATATATGCAATATATATATATATAAATATATATATATTATCATAATTTGTTTTATATTGCATTAGTGTTTTCCCCAGCATGTTCAGTATACTTCAACACCACAAAAATATACCACCAGCAACCCTCTGCAGCTCGCTTGCAGTCCTACCACGGTTTCATTGACATCACTGTTGGCGAGAACTCCTGATCATGCGACCCTTGGCTTTGACCTAATTGAGAAAGATAGCAACTTGGACTGGCAGGTCATATTATTGGCATGTCAAATATCAAAACATGGATGCTTATTGAAAAACAACTTGATCAATCACATACAAAATCAGGAGATATTGGTTCAGAGGCAGCAAATAGGATGAGCATGTTCCTCCATTTCGAAGAACCCGATAGATATCCAAATTGTTTATTGTTTTATATACTGTAATGATGCACAATGTGTAAACCCAAATTTGTTAATGCTGTTTTTAGTCCCCCAGCATCCCATCAGATTTACGTGTTTCAGGGTCCTATAGCAACATCATCTTGCTCAGGACAGCATGGATGCAGGAACATTCGGGATGGAGGTGAAACAACCTCCTCAGAGGAGCCTGGACCCTTCCTTGTCTATATTTTAAATAAATAAATAAATAAATATAAATAATATATATATATACCTAGATTGATAGATCATGCAATGATGGGGATACGGAAAAGATCCGAATGTATCTATCTCTGTGAGATTCCTGATCAGTTGTTTCTTATTTGGATATGGCCCCCATGGTAGCTGTATAATTTCATGGTGTTACTTGAGTATTGTCCTCCATGGCCATGCAACCATATAAGGTTGTTGCAAGAGATCGTCAATGAGAAGAATGAAGTAAGGAAGCAGTGGCTTAGCCAACAAAGTTGTCTTGAAATCCAATTTCCCATGTAGCCATCTATATACCGTAGATGAAAATATTGATTGTCTATGACCTAAGGTGCAGCGAAGCTATCCCCTTGGAATCTCGCTACAGGCATCCCTTGATGAATTCATTCAATGACCAGCATGTAAGTTCAAACTGTTTCAAAACAAATATATATCCTGGATACATGGGCTATATATGGATATATCCACTTCATGCCATTGTGCAGGCTTGTGATCAAAGAGCTGGGTTTGGAGGAAAGGCCGAACGCGAAGCCAAAGAAGAATAAGGGCAACAAGGGAAACAAGTCTGCCCCGTCTTCGGGCAAAAAGCCTGCCAGCAAAAGTAAGTCAAAGTCAAAGGGTGCCCCTTCGAAGAAGGCCAAGACATCCAAAAACAAATCCGTGCCAGCCCCCAGCGCTGATGACCAGCAGTCGCAGCCCGCTCCTGCTGCCAGAAGCAAGAAGCTTCGCAAGTCCTGAGCACCCATGTTGGGTTCCATGCGTTTGCTCTGTTTATCCATGATTTCACCTTTTAAAATAATTTATATATAGTGTTGAACACTTGTTGCAAATATGGATCAAATGAAGTGATTGTGAATCCAATTTTTGGGGTGCCCTCTGTGTGTGGGGTGGAAGAGTCATGTGAAAGCACATGCGCCAGTTCCAATCATGATCTCTGATCACCGTTTTGGGGGATTTAAATCGGACGTATGCAGATAGACGAACAGGTTGCTGTGGAATACCATAGCAGCCATAGCACATCCATGCCAGAAGTGCCAATCCAGTATCAATCAAGATCTGTGGGCTTGGAAAAAAAGGCGCTTGGATCATACAAGCATTCTTCTGAATCTCAGCCCAATCCATCACAAACCCCCATGCACAAACTCTGGATCCAATTTTATGATGTTTTGTAAACCCATGGAGAGAGATATGTGCTTTACAAAATGGAAGGGCCCCATATTCAAAATGCCATATGTTGGAAAAACACTTGGTTTTCATCCACTCATCCAGAGTTTGTGATAAGGGTTTGCGCCAGCAAACAGCCACTCTCATCATGCCAGGTCCTTCCCATAAAGCGCGGCAGCTCGCATGGAGGTATAGTCGAGGAGATACTTGGCTCTACAATGTGCAACCCATGTGGATCTATAATATATCGATCTGCCTATATATCTTGTCTCTTACTCTGTATGTGATCTACAGTATTTGGATTGGGCCATCTATAATATGATCGAAGTTGATGTTGCTAATTGAATAAAACCCTGACCATGGTGATATATACCCATCCAAGACTTCAACATGACACTCCAAGGAAAAATGCACTGAACTGATCGACTTTGCGACAGCTGAGATGCGCGATGTGGGCGAAGGTTTCTACAGCAGCAACATGGCATGCCCAGTGCTGGCGGCTTTGGCAGCAGTGCCCCGAAAAAAGTCAGTTCCTAGCCCATCAATTTATATATAGAGAGGTTTTGGATTTGTTTATGTTTTTTTGTTGGATGATTATATCATGCAGCTATCGACCATTGATATCACACCCATATACAAAAAAAAAAACTGAATCTTTTTGGGCAAGGGAACCCATTGACTGTATTACAGGTCCATATGTTGTTGTTGTGGATTCGCAATTTTTCAATCAACTTTGTATATACAAACAACCCAGGAAGAAGGAGTCTTCGAGGTGTTCCGTTTGAACAACTTATTTTACCCTGTGGAAATGACCTTTGAGACGGTTTCACCATTGAAGGATTTCCCTTGGATCAAACCGTCCAACTTTATCCGTATCATGGCAAAGATGAACGACCTGGGCCACTTGCTGGGAGGGCTTTCGTTACAAGAAGCCAAGGGTACGTTGTTGAGTTTCTGGTCCAAGTATCGAGCCCTGTTTCCACAGCACCAGCTTTGGGGGGATGTTGATTGCAGAAAAAAGGATCTGTCCAGATGCCTCCCTATTTACCTTCATGGTGACGAGGGAACCTCATACAAACGAGGTGGGATTTTGATTGTCTCCTTTCAAGGTGCTTTTGGGTTTGGATCTTCAAAAAGGGCAGAAGAAATCAAAGAGAAGTACCGTGCAATGGGAGACGGCATACCTCTTAATTTTCTACGCACTGGGTTCCAAACCAGGATGCCAATTTGCGTTTGCCCCAAGGAGTGCTTGGGTTTGATTATAAACATTGTTCCATGATGTTCAACATTGTCCAACTTGTTCAACAGTTTTGTCATGTTTGTTGTTTGTTACATATATATATATATATACACATAATTTATACATATAATATATACAATAAAATCGAACCATGAGATGAGGGGTTGTCCTGCACGGCAACCTAAACTGTTATATACAAAGCATTTGTATATAGCCCTGTCCAGGATCTCTACAGCGAAGACAGGAGGGTCTGGAACGCAATCTTTGAGATGACCGTCAAGGATCTTTCAATTTGCGAGAGGGATGGCATACAGATTGGGACTGGGGATAATGAAAGGATCTGGCCAATAGTACTGGGTAACAAAGGTGACTGGAGTTACCTTGCACCTTGGTAAATTGTTCAGATCATTGTTGAGTGGTTGATACCTCTTTTTTACAAACAAAAAATATGGGTCGATCAATGCCTCTTTAAAAGAAATGTCGTCATTGTATACGGGAAACAATTTTTAATGCACTATGTGTGAGCAACACAGGTATCCTCTGCTAACTTAGAAAGATCGTACCGGAGGGCGCCAAAGGGAGCTGGGGATCAAGGAGACCTTGGAGTTGAGGGAGCGGGTGTGTGTCACCTATGTACCTGTGGACAGGGCATTGACTGGGAGAACATGTTCCTTTGCCTGTGCATGCCTCCACTTTTTTTTTGCTCTGGGATTTTGACCACATATGAAGAATATGCATCCTTTTGGATATATGTTTTTAAGCGGATATGGCATTTTTCCAAACCAGCCTGCTAGGGTTCCCATATACCCATCTGCCTTTTCAGACGCTTCCTATATAAGGACAGAAGCTGAAAAATGCATGGACGAAGCCTATGTCGTTCCGCAACCTGTCCCATGGCAGCGGGAGAGTCCTTTGACCAGGGAGCTTTACCACGACACCAGTCCAAATGGAAAGAATAGATTCCATTGCCTAGACCCTTGGCACACTTTCCACCTAGGGGTGGGCAAATACT